GTTATCGATATCGGAAGCAGGAAAAAGATCCGGCGAAGATGTCGGGTGGTTTAGATATGTCACTTGACGATATCATCAAATCCAACCGGAAACCTACGGGATCTCGTGGCCGAGGCACCGGTGGTGGTACTAGTACCGGTGGTCGTGGCGGTTCCGGTCCGTCTCGCCGATTTGCTAACCGTGTAGGAGCAAGAACGACGCCGTATTCAAGGGTCAGCGAATTGATTTTATCTCCTTTTAACCTCTCTTCACATTCCAAATCAGAGAAATTCCTTTAGGGTTTTTTATGAATGAAAACAAAAAAAGTTGAGATCTGTTTTTCGTTTCTTCTTTGACGAACAAAAAAACAGCCGATTCAACAACAACAAGCTCAAGACGCGATGTGGCAGAACGACGTTTTCGCGACTGATGCGTCTGTAGCGGCTGCGTTTGGTCATCAATCTGTAGGTGTTGTTGGTGGTTCTTCAATCGAGACTGGAACTAAGCTCTACATTTCCAATTTAGATTATGGCGTCTCCAACGAAGATATCAAGGTAATTTACATTTCTTTCTTTGTGCTTTGGAAATGTTGTAGTTAGGTGGAAAAAACTGTGGCTTTGAGGTTATGTTTTGAGCCCTTTATCTAACTTTTTAGCTGGGTTTTGTTTGTAGGAGCTTTTCTCAGAGGTCGGTGACCTTAAGCGATATGGGATTCACTATGATAGGAGTGGAAGATCGAAGGTACACTTGATTATAAGGCTTTCTAATGTTTTCTGAGATTTCTATCGAATCGCCATTTTTTCTGATAAGATGACCCTTTGCAGGGTACTGCTGAGGTTGTGTATTCGCGGCGTGGTGATGCTTTGGCAGCTGTGAAGCGTTACAACAATGTTCAATTGGATGGAAAACTGATGAAGATAGAGATTGTTGGTACTAATCTTTCAGCTCCGGCTCCTACAATTCTTGCTCCAGCTCAGATTCCTTTTCCTGCAAATGGGATACTTGGGAACTTTAATGAGAACTTTAATAGCAACTTCAATGGGAATTTCAATGGAAACTTCAGGTCTGTGCTGTTTTTTTCAGTTATAATGTCTTATATGGAACGTTGATATCATTTAGTGCCTATTAATCAATTGTAAAGTCAAGTTTGTTTCTTTTATTCGTATAACTTCTATTGAGATGGCTGATGTATTCTTCTTGAGTTAGTATCTTGATGAATTAGACTGGAGTCAATAGGTTGATTACATGAACCCTGTTAGTTGTATTAAATGTTTTGGATAACTTGTTATGAAACAGAGGAAGAGGAAGAGGAAGAGGCGGGTTTATGGGACGGCCTCA